ATAAAGGAATATAATTAATTTAAATACTATCTTGTCACATATCATATCTTTAACATTATGATTAATTACTTACACTTAAAAATAATAATAATAATACAACAATTAAAATATTAACATTATTATATTTTTTATACATTATATCCTTTCTAATAGAGGAAATAATAAAATAAACTATGTTTTTATTTATACATAAATATACATAAAACAATTTCTAGTTAATATTTGTTAAACAGAGTTTTATACAAAAAAGCGTAATTCATGTGAACAAAAATTGCATAATGATTTTAAAATATATAATTCTAAATGACTATATACTTTTTTAACATAAGAAGTATATAGAAATAAAATCTTTAATTTAAAATATTCTAATTGATATATAAAAGTTAAATCTTCTAATTGGTATATAAAAAGATAGAAATCAATGTTTCATTCTAATAATATGTGTATTGTCAAATTTCCGATTTTTATGTTATTAAAAATAGGATTAAAAATATTTTTATTAAAATACTTAATAATGCATAGAAACAATTGAAATTTAAGAAATGAATTAACATAATAAATAAAACGATTATGAATTATTTTTCAACATGATTATAAAATAACAGTTGAAGAATTAAAATATTTCATAGTCATTACATTTAATAATTGCATTTTCAGCATACTTGCCCAATTTCTCATTGCGCCACATTTATTTACCATATTTTGTCAAGCATTGCAATAATATGCGACATTACATAATTTTATAAATTGTCATATAAAAATTGCTTCTTTTCATTTATGTATTTACTATTATATATTATATACAATGTTTTTTTATATTTAAGAATTAATTACAAATCGAATCATATTCAAAATATTTTAATAAATTTTCGTTCTTCGTTTAATAGTTAACAAATAATATTTGCTGCATAATAAACAATAACAGAATATTTAATAATTTTTTCTAAATAAAATATGTGCAATAATATTTATTTGTGAAATATGAATTAAAAAATGTTGCATCATTTAAAACTATTTTTGTTATAATATTTCTAGATTTACTAAAATTAAATCTGCAGGGAAAAAATTTGTTTAAGAATATAGTATTATATTATATTATGTTCATGAACTTCAAAATTAATGAATTATAATCATTGATTAATACTGAGATATTTAAAAATAAAAACAAATATAAGCAGTAATAATATAAAAGTATTAATTATATCAAATATAAGAAGATATTTCATGTATAGTTTTGTAACATATTTATATAGTGTACAAGGAATGAAACAATGATCAAATTATTTTTATGAATAAAAAAATTTCTTTATTACAATATATTAGATTTTATTGTACTTCAAAATTTGTTTTGCATACAATGAAACAAATTTTTCTTTGGCACTTTTTAATATTCTGAAAAAATATTGTTTCAAATTAGAATTACAAAAACGTTTTGTTCATTCATTCTTGTTTATATTTTCTTTTCTCTTTCTTTGTTTACTAATAATTAAAATATTTAATTTTTTTATAGGAAATCTTTTAAACTTAAAATAGTAGCTTAATGAAAAATGTCTACTATTTGATGTAATTTTATATTATTATACATTTTATGAAGCACTAAAATTAACTATTGTCAATATATAAGTATACTAAACGATACATTTGACTTTATACATATCTATAATTAATATTCTACGATAGCATTCATTTAACATAATGAAATATGAAATTCATAATTTAAATTTATATATATTTATATTATATTCTGTTATTGTTTGCATTTTTTAAATGTGAAACATGTAATATATGGATATCTATAAAGTAATTTCCAAAGATTGTATTTAATCTTCTACTTTTATTTCCATTATATTAAATAAAACAAAGAGAAGATTTTCAAATAAATTTTAGCTTTTATAATTTTCTTCCAATTACATCAAATATATTCAATTAAAAAGAAATTTAATACACAATAAGTTTAATTAATTAATTTAAAAGATTGATTGAATATAGTTAATAATTATGATATATTGTTGTCTTTCTCCACTTATATTGTATTTAATATATAAAGTTTATAATTCATACTAAATAAAACATTTGCCTAATTTAAATATAGTAAACTTTTGACAATACAATGTTCTCAAATACCTTAAGAAATATGAAAAAAAGTTTTACAAATTGAGGGAACAATACAGACATGCTTTTAGATCTAATAAATAAAAATACAACTTCTTTAGCCCTTTAAATTTGATTACTTAAAATATATAGTGAATACGTGTGATGTGTGAATTACTTATTAAAACAATTTCTTGTATTAAACAATATCTTCTATCTTATGAAGATATTCACTTTTCTATATTCACTTTTCTCATAGGCCTGCCTGCTTTTTTTTATTTATTTGGAACACAAGGTTCTTAATTTGTTCGAAGATACAAGTGCACTCTGTATTCAAGTCATACATTAAATAATGATATAAGATCTGTGTATGTAGTTAAATATATTCGCATATAAAATTATTATATAACAATGCAAAACATTTTAGTATTTTATATTAACTTATTCACTACCATTATCTATTCATATAATATATGTACAATTATTAATAACTGTAACAGAGTTTTATTTTATTATAATATGATGAAACATAATATGAAATATTAACAATAATTATATTTAATTTATATGAGAAATTCTCTTGTTTCAATAGATATTAAACTATGGCAGTGAATATGTCAATATTATCAAACAACATGTAGTTATATGTAACCGTACAATCTTTTGTTACACTTTTTTTAATATCACGTTACTACAACATGTTTTTAAAATTATTATAGCATGCAACATTCTTTCTAAACGTAGAAGTATTTAACATATTCAATGAATAGTAATTTTTCAAGAACAGCATTTAAGAACATTGTAACTTTTCTATTTATTAAATATGTTTATATTCTTGTAAAAAATAAACGACTTCAATTAATTATATATTTAAATGTATATGTATCATAAATATGTGTATGTTACATTCTTTTAATATTTAATAATATAAATAAAATTGCATTCTTTATATTAAAATTAGCAATGTACCATATTTGTTAGTTTATTTTAATTGAACCCCTTCTAAACATTAATATATAGTTTGTACAAAAGGCTAACAAAACTTCATAGTAAATATGGTACGATGCAAAATTAATATTTTTATTATTAAGATTTAAATATGCAAAATATTGTTTAAAAATGTACAATAAATGTGTGTAACAGTAAATATTTCTTTAATTATAAATTTTGGATACTTTAAACATTATAGATTGCCAAAAAAATTATAAATAATAATATAATAAAAAAAAATTAAGTTTTTAACTCTAAATTATATTTTAAGCAAATAATATCTTTTAATAATATTGAAATTTTTTAAATTTGTACAAAATTATTATAGAAACATGTACATTGCTCATATAAAAATTCGTATAAATTAATCAATATATGAAAACACATTCTTCTAGACATACTGAATAAAAATGTGTAATCTATCATACACATATATCATACACATACAATATATTACTATTACAATTTTTATTACAGATCAAATTTTTTTTAATTGTATGAAAGAAAGATGTTTTAATCAACTTTCACATATATGTACATTATTTAATTTATAAAGCAAATAATTACAAAATATATCAGACAGAACAAATAATGTATTATTAAAATAATTTTAAAACCTTTTTCTTAAGTAATAAAATTTCCCTAGTAATAAAATTATACAGAGTGGTCCATCTAAAAAAAATCATCTGAATATCTGAATTTGAGTTGTGAAAATATCTTGTATAATAATAATTTGAATAATATCATATAAATATGCTACAAAAGATATCTTTATTCCAAGATTTATTTTTTTCCGAACTTTTCAAGATTACTAGTATATTGTTTTCATATAAACATATATTCTTTTCTTGCATGTTATACTTGACATTAAAATGCATTCAAAGATATTAATGACATTAACTTCAAGTGACTTTTAAGTTTTAAAATTAATTGAAAATGTACAATGTATTTTTATATCATCACAACTGACGAAGATATTTAGATGTCTACCTTTAGATACTATTCTAACTATTCTATACCTTAGTATCCATACACGTCTGTATGCATACATAGGATGCATTATAAAACAATCCCTACAATTATAACACTTCCAATGATCTAATGAAAAACTGTACAAAACAAAAATTAGTCAATATTTGGTCAACAATAAATTACAATTTTATAAACTATGAAAATATGTTTTGTGGAATAAAACGTGTTTAAATAGCATTACATTTTTTTGACTTTATAGCATTGTAATCAATAGACAGCATTGTAATCGAGACGAATACAATCACTTATTATCCTTATGATATTGAATTTAGAAATTGTCACAAATCGTTCGTTAATACTTAATTGTCTGTACTTGAATCCAGAATGTACTTGTATTCAGTGATGAAAGCAAATATTCGAACTAGTTTCCACGTTCTGCAACTAACATGATAAACGATTCAAGGCGATTTCTCAATTTGAGGTCGTCATAAGGACTTAATATAGTAGCTAATTGTATTCGTCTCGATATCAATTATAATGTTACAAAATCGAAAAAAATGTAGTGCTATTTGAAAAAATATATGTAATCTTCACCTTTTATTCAACAATCATTTTTCGTAATTTACAAAGTTATAATTTATTGCTGATTAAATATTGACTAACTTATGTTTTGAACATTTTTTCATTAGATTATCAAAATGGTACAAAAATTATGGGAACTATTTCGTGACATATCTTGCACACATGTACATATGCAATATGTATATAATTATCATTTATCAAAATCATTCCAAATTATAGCCATTGTTAGATTTTAATTGACTACTTTAAAAGTAGCCATTTAAAATGATATATTCTTTTATCATTATCTTTTTATATTATTATATCATATACTCTTATCTCAGTTAGTCTATTTGAGCCTCATCAATTCCTATGATACAGGAGAATTAGAGCATTTTTGCTTCTAATTTTCCTACAATAGTCAATTTAAAAAATCATTTTACATACAATGTTTTATAAACATATTTGTATATTATATAAAAGATTTTTCCTTTTGTATATACCAATAGCACTTTGAAAAAAGACTTACTTCATAAAAATACTGTAATGTCCTTTGTGCACATCGTATATAATTAAATGCTATCAAATGAATAATAAATCGTAAAAAAAATTAGGAAATGCGATTTTCTTAATTGTCATATTTTTACGCACTAAAATTTCATTTGTTTAATATTGTATAAAACAAGTATACAAAAAGTATACAAACTAATTTAATATTTCTTCTTTGGTTTTGCACTATTCAATATTTGAATTCAATAAAAAAGAAAAGCGTATTAGTTTGTGCTTTTTATAAAATTTTACGAATATTCATTATGCAAGTACAGTCAGGAAACAAAAAAAGAGATTATTCACTTATAGACGAACTACGTCTACCAGAGGCTACTAAATCACTAATTGTAGAATTATGACGTGTTTTTCTTGAACCCTCATTATCATTCACAAGATTTGGATTGACTGAATGAGAAAGAGCGGCTGTTTTATTAAAATCTATTGTAGCATACCTTTTCTGTATTTTATTTGGAGATTCTGGAGGAGATGTGGTAGAATTTGAAGGAGCATCTAATGGTGAGTTCATTGGTACATCTTTTGTATCCAAATCTAGTATAGCATAATTTACTTCTCTAATTAGACCACCTGGTGGTGTTGATGGAGGCAAAGGTGATTTCTCTGCTGTAGATACTCCAGAAAATCTTTTTCTTAAATTTTCAATTTCATTTGGCTCTAAATTGGCATAACAATGTCTTGCTGTTTCTTCTACATCAGATTGAATAGATGACAATGGTGAAGGTCGTGATTTAGCACCAAAAGATTCTGGATATTCTTGACCGGAACTTATATTTATGTAAGCATGTCCAGATTCACTGATTTCATTTTTGTCCTCTTTAAGTTGCATTGTTTCAGAAACACTGTGACTTGGAGAAAGTGGATTGATATTAGTATTAATATCTACATTCATGTAAGTTGCTATTGAAAGTGGTGATTTAATTTGAGAAATGACTTCTGAACTCTTGTGTACAGACGTTACTTCTAGCGATGCCGAACCATTATCGGACATAGAATTACTGACTGTACAAGATCTATAAAAATATAAAAAATATAAATATTAAATTATAAATAATATAATTATATTTTTAATTACCTTTGTATTATGCGTCTAAGGCTTTTGTTATTATTATGTTCCATTTCTAATGATAGAGAAGACAACACTTCTTCATTCATATAAACTGAGGACGGATGTGGTTGAGGAAATGGTGGTGGTGGTGGTGGTAGCACTGGTGGTGATGTAGGAGAACTCGTATTTCCTTGCGATGGTATAAGACCAGTGCTGCTTCCCACACTATCTAGCCTTCCAACTCCATTTTGTTGATTATATGCAAATCTGGGACCCACGTGATTATTAGTTCTATTTGATATGGGATCCAAATAATTAGGCTCAACTGGTATTGTCACTCTTGTTACTGTTGGACCAGAATGAGGAGCAACTGGAAGTTCTCTAGATATTGTATCATCTCCGCTATTATTACAAACCTATAATAAATTTTAATTGTATGCAAAAAAATATTTGTACCCTTTATAATTTATATGATAAAAATAAACGAACCTGAATATTTGTTTGTACAAGATTAAATAAATGTGCAGCTCTACGACATTTAAAAGCATAAATGCCTGGTCCTGTAGAGCATCTTCTTCCTGATTCAAAACTAAAAATCTCAGCATCATAACCATATCGCCTTAAACATCGTAATGGCCACTTAATAGGCTGTTTACCACGTTGGTGAAGTACTATGTCAGTTTCTGTGACTTCTAAACGTCCAGGTGTGATTAAATTACCTAAGTCATCTACGTTCATTACTTGAAAAACATTTGGATGTAAATCATTAATATCTGTTCGACTATTTACACAACCCATTCTTTTTTATTCTGAAATAAAATTTTAAAAAATCACATTATCTTTAATAGAAACGTCCAATATATAAACATTTTTGTCAACATTGACATTAGAGTTAAAAAATAGATCATAAATTCAAATGTCAATTATGTTCCAAGATCTAGTACATTAGGACACGAAAGAATAATTATAATATAAATTATAATAAGAATAATTATAATATAAATATAAAAAGAAAAATTATAATATATATAATCTCATAAGTAATCATTATGCACAATATATTTGTCATCAATTTTTAAGAATTCTTTTAGAAACAATTTCATTTAGATGTGCGTGTTAAATTGATCAGTGAAAAATAAATTATGTTAAAAATAATTTAAAAAGCAATTTATGAAATGAATCTTGAAATCTATTCTGAAAGTATACGATTAAATGAAACAAATTAGAGTTAAAATCATAAAAATATTTTTGTAACATTTAAATATTTACCAAATGCGACATATCCAAAGCATTTGTCTCCTTTCTTGAGGTGAATTATTCATTCTCTTTCAAACAATACACAACATCTCGCATAAACATCGTTGCATAGTAATCTGTACTTCCTTGAAGTTGCTGCAGATAGAAAAGTAAACTGTTATAAACTGAAAATATTCGATGAACATGCGTGTGTGCATATATTCATATTTTATAAGAAGCAAGTTAAATCATCAATTAAATATATGTATTATTATACATATATATATATACATATATTAAATATTATATATTAAATATTATATATCTACAAATATTAAATATTATATATTAAACCATTATTAAATATTACATATAAACCATTATTTGAATATTATACAGATTATTATAAAAATAATAAATTCATGATTTCTTCTTGAAAAGCAGATATTACAAAATCTACATTTTCTACATTAATGCTTCTATTTTTTTCAGTATTTTTTTTAGAATTAATATGTTTTTTAATAAAATCACAATATAAATAATAGATAAAAGCTAATGTTAACTAATAACTCTAATTTCGCGGTAATATTTTTGTAAATACTGTTAAATGCGTCTATAAGATCGAATCAATAAATAAATTTACATAATTTAAGTAAACTATCGTAATTCCTGACATAAAATTTACTTTGTATTTGTGAACGCAGTGAACTACTTGGTTTATTTTGGAACGCTTTCAAACCGATGTTTCGCTGTATCGAAGTGCTGACGTTGAAAATCGAAATCGAGGTGATCGACGATGATTTTGGTTAAAATTTTTTGATGTACGATTTAATTTAGTTGGTTTATTATATACGAAATATCTGTATACTTTAATCATTGATATCAAAACATAACAATGCATACAGTTTTTACACGCGGCAATGCTATTCTAGCATATACTTTGAGTGTTTCGGCGTGTTTAACATTTTGTTGTTTTCTTTCTACTGTATTTATTGATTACAGAGCAAATGCAACTTTAAATACTGTAAAAGTAGTCGTGTAAGTATAATGAATTTATTTTATAGATACTATAAAAGTCGGAAATTAATTTTCTAAACGAAATTAATCTGTTCACAATTTTCCATCGCATATTATTTTGCTACCATATTTCACCTTTTTAATTATTAATTATAATATAGAGTTTATTTCATGGAAATATAAACATATTTTCATGAAATAAGCATGATAATATTTTTACATAATAATAAAATGTAACATGTTACACTATAAAAAACAAAGTTTTGATATTATTTAAACAGATCAATAACACGCATAAATGTTTTAATTGAAATTATTATTCTTCATTTACAATGCCATACAGTAAATAATTATGAATTTTATTTTACAGAAAAAATGTAGCAGATTATAGTGCTTCAAGAGAAAAGAATGACTTGGGATATTTAACATTTGATTTAAAAACTGATATCCTTTTTTCAATTATTTGATTTTTGATTTAAAAACTGATATCCTATTTATTTATTGTACTTTTTTAAATATATATGTCTTATATTAAAAATGTAGAATAATAAATTTGCTATATGAAACATAACGTAAATTAATAGAAATATTTATTAAATTTTTATATGATTTTGCTGTTTACATTAATTTTCATGTCTTTGTAATAGTAAAATTATAAAATATATAACTTCTTTACATATATAAGTATATACATCTGACTCCATTATTTAATTGGAATGTTAAGCAGTTATTTTTATATCTCACAGCAGAATATCAAACAGAAAATAATGATTTCAATCAGGTATGATGTAAATATTATAATATACAAATACTATGTTTAATTTAATTTAATGTAATAGTCATATTATATTAAAATGTCTTTACATTCTAGGTAGTATTATGGGATAAAATAGTACTTCGTGGGGATAAAACAGTATTTAATTTTAAAAACATGAACACAAAATATTATTTCTGGGATGATGGCAATGGTTTAAGGTAATTTTTTCTAATAATTATATATCATTTAATTAATAAAATATATTATTGCTAATGTTTATATTTTAGGGGTAACAAGAATGTAACATTAACATTGTCGTGGAATATTATTCCAAATGCTGGACTTTTACCAAGTGTTAATGCCTTTGGCTCGCATACTTTCACATTTCCATCTGAATATACCTCATTACGTGTGTAACGTACATTTTTGTATATGCAATACGTCCATATTCATTGCTTTGTAAAATTTCCATTTATTTTACATAAAGTCAATATATAATGTAACATTTTTGTGTCATTATTTAATTGTTAGGGACTATGAAAATTATATTCATCTTATACGTATTTCATTATAAAAATAAAATACACAAAATTTGACATAATCTTTTAGTTCTCATTTTTCAAGTTATAAAATAGCACGTTATAATTAGTAATAAAAACAACAATATAATATATTTATTTTTTCACTTCTGCATTTCTGTGTTGCAAAAATTAATTTTTACTAAACATTTTTATTAATGCTCTATTTGATGCAATTTTTTGCAATTTTTTTCACTTTCATCTATTAATTCTTCATTTTGTTCTTCATTAGCATCATCATTATTATCATCTTCATCTTCATTATCATTATCATTATCATTATCATTATCATCATCTTCATCTTCATCTTCATCTTCATCTTCATCTTCATCTTCTCCATCTTCATCTTCATCTTCATCTTCCTGATGAGAAGTATAATTTTCAGAAACATAGTCTTGCGACTGATTTCCTATAAAAAAAAGTAACATCTATAATACATCTATAATAAGATATTTTGTACTCTGAATATTACAATAAATTCAAAGATAATAAATAAATATTAAAATAATTAACATCTTTACCATAATAGTTATATCCATTTTCATCATCAGATTCATATGTTCCACTTTGATTTTGTCTACCAAATTTATGAGTTCTTGCTACAATAAAATAAGAAATATGATTTTAAGAATAACTATTTAAAGATTACAATGTTTTAGCTAAACTAAATATATTACTTACTTGACATGCTAAGATCTTTTGTTTGAGATGTTTCAAAGCCACATTTAGGACAAGGTATAGGTTTGTTTTTTTCATATTTAAAGCCTTTTCTTCGAATATGATCTTCACAATAACATGTTTTGCATCTTAGGCATGAATATTGTCCTAATCGATTGCACGATTGACCTACCAAATCGAACAAACCAAAACAATAATGATTATATAAAAGTAATTATATACAAAAAAAATGGAATTATTTTCATTTCTTTTTAACATTCTTACATTTGAAACTTTCTGCTTCTAAGACTTGACATGATGCTTGATGCTCAAATTGATCATCTTCACAGAGAAAACAATTACAAAATGAACATCGAAATATTCTACCACCATGATCCCATACGCCTCTTTCACATTCTTGACAAACTGCATCTATTAATGGACACATACAGGCATGAGTTGTAAGGCAACGTCTCCCATGGCAAACCCATGCTTCACAATGATCACATATGGCTCCCTTTAAATATTTATGTTTATTTATACACTCATAATTTATTATGACACTTTAATTGTAAATAAAATATATTTACTTACCACCATACCTAAACCAGTAGTAAATACACCAGGATGACGAACAACACAATCTCCTGTTTTCAGCATACATTTTATTTTTCCGCAATGAGCGCACATTGGTAACCGTTGTAAACTTTGACAGAAATAACAAAAGGCTCTACTCTTCTGTTTTTTGCCACATTTATCACATTCCTTTATTAAAAATTAAATAAAAACATGATATATTGGAATATGATATATTTTGCTTATGAGACATGTTTTATTTTCTAGGTATTTTTTATTAATTAATACTATTAATAATTCACACATTAATTTTCAGATTTACAATATAAAAAATATTTATCTTTATTATATGTTTGTAAATCAATTAAATTATGATACTATTGATTTGTATTACTATAATACTTTATAATACTTGCCATTACTGCATTACATGGGAATTTGGCTAAATCTAATTGATCTTTGGCAGTTCTAATTTCTTTTTGCCTTAATTTTTGTTTTTCAGCTTTTCGCCTTTGCCCTGTCTTTTTCTTTGGCATTTTAGATAATTTAATATCACATTGACACTTGAAAAAATATACAGAATATCTTCAATATGAATACTGAAATAAACATTGTCATATTATCCAATTAAGTTGATTTAAATAAATATGTATATCACTTCAATTATATCAATTGAAATAAATATGTATATTCATTTTAATTGATTGACTAGACTCTAAATTCTTCCATGTACTTATTTCTATATATTGAAACTATACATGTACATAATAATTCCATTATTTTTTAATTAAGCTTATAAATTAAATTAAATCATGAATGTTACATTATAATTATATAATTAGTCATATGTTATAATTAAAAACATATTATAACGTACCATTGACAATTTAATTAATATTGACAATATAATTACAGATCAGATCTAATTTTATAAAATTTTATATTATAAAATTATATAAAATAATATATCATATATGACTTTATATGAAAGCAACAATTTTATTGTAGTCTTTATAATTTAATCCATGTAATCCATGTAATTATCAAAATTACATTTAAAAAAATGTTATCACTGCACAGTTGATTATAATGATCTGCCACGAAGATATAGAAAATAGTTTATTTAAAAATATTTTACGCGAGTTACTCTCAAATCGTGAGTACATGCATACGTTTAGATCGAACGAACGAATACTCATTAGTTAACTATTTATTTCGACAAAATTCAAGTCTTAAATAAGCAATCGGTCATGCTTGATTCAAATTAGAGTTGCTCATGTACACTGAATATAATTTAATTACCATTTAAATTAAAGAAACATGTTTTATCGAAATGAAGGGCAAATAAGCGTTTGTTCGTTTAACCTAAATGCTAGTTTTCATACAGTAGATGTATCGCAATGGCTATTTTTGTAAAATATATATCAAAACACAGTCACAATATTAATTTTCACTAAAATCTTGATTAATCAGCAGCGACTTTTTTTATATCTGCAACTGACGAAGTTACAATACTAATAAAATGTTAGTGAAATGCTAGTGACATAGTAATAAAATGTTAGTGAAATACTAGTGAAATGTATTCACGCGACAAGCTCCAATCTGCAATATCGCTCAGTTTCACTTTCTCTCAGTTTTTTAACTAAGAAATAAATCGATATTTATTTATTTTATTAATATTTATTCTATTCGAGACGAAAGATTTTTTTATAAGACGAAGTTCGAAAGCCAAATTTTTTTTTAAGGATTCCCACGGCTAGTTCTTTAGTATTAATTGATAACATTAATTCATGGTCATAACACACGGTGAGTAGTTCGTCTTTTTGATTAGGAATTGATAACCTGGTGTGTCTTAAATGGGTTAAACTTAATGTGAATTTTACTTTATTTTTCTATACAAATCTAATTGATCCGTCATTTTAGACAGATTTAATATTTATAAGAATTTTTCATAATTCAAAAATTAAAATTTAATTGTACCGCAACGTTGTTATGTGAAAAGCTTCATAAGGCTATATGTATTGATATCATACAACTATCGAGATATAAGAACATCTTGTGATCACAATTGTTGGTAGTTCTAATACTGAAGTCGCATCAACATCAATGGTTATTAACCCATTTGCATCCAAGCGCGGAATAATCCGCGAGGCGCGACTGTTTGCTATCACCAAGCGCGGAATAATCCGCGAGCCACAACTATCTGTTATCACCGAGCGCGGAATAATGCGCGAGCCTACGACTGCTTTTGCGAAATATTCTTTGGTTGCGACAGACCACGTTTAACCACTTTCTTCGTTTTTTTGTGAAAATCTTTCAAACTGCCACTATGAGTAAGTGCTGTCAATCTATATTTAAATTCAAGAAATCCAAGTTTAGAAAACAATCTTATTTTATAATTTAATCTAAAATTTAGTTGCCCCAATGGATTTTGAACATCTTGATTCGGATTCAAGTATTGAGGTACAACGTCCTAGAAGACGTAGCCGGAGGATTTCGTCAAGTGATGATAGCGAAAATGAACAGTGCAGCAGTTGTATAAATCAAGAGTACGTGTGGGAAGCCGAAAATCATACTCCCATTATACATGGGTTTTCAAGTGCGGGTGGTGCAACCGTAAATATACGAGGTCTGTCGAGAAGGGAGGTTTTCGAACTATTTTTTAATCGAACAAGGAGTTAATTACAAAAATAATTACGGAAACAAATAAATATGGCGCAAGCGACGCAGAATTTATACCTCTTGAAGACGACGAATTAAAAGTATTTATTGCTTTAAATATTTTAATGAGTCTAGTTTCTAAGCCCACGATTCAAAGCTATTGGACTACTGATAAAAGTATAGAAACTCCGTATTTTAAGAATATCATGAGCCGTAACCGCTTTATTTCTATCTCCAAAAATTTACACTTTTCCAGTACAAATAATCCTAATGACCCACTGATAAAAATTCGAGAAGTTACTCAAATAGTAAAAAAAACTTTCATTCGCATGTATGTCCCAAATAAAAACATTTCCATTGATGAATCACTAATGTCATGTAGAAGTCGTTTGCATTATATACAATTTATTCGAACAAAACGTGCGAGATTTGGTGTCAAGTTTTATAAACTCTGTGATTCAGAATCGCGATACATACACAATTTCAATATATATACAGGAAAAGATAAAACTGATACAGGATCTGCTAGCAGAAATGTTGTAATCAATTTGTTGAAAGAGAGTCAATTATTGCATAAGGGGTATTGCTTATTCATTGATAATTGGTACAGTTCACCAACATTATACCGAGAATTATATAATATGAAAACAAATATATGTGGAACAGCGCGAATAAATAAGAAAGGAATGCCTCCGGAATTAAAATCATACAAATTACAAAAGGGAGAAGCTGTTATATTTTGTACAAAAGAGATAGCGGCGATAAAGTGGAAAGATAAGAAAGATGTTATACTAACTACTATGCACGATTTAAATTTTGGTGAAACAGGGAAACGAAACCGATATACTGGACAAAAGAGTTTAAAACCAACTGCAGTAATAGATTACAATCAACATATGGGTGGAATTGATGTTGGCGACCAAATGTTAAGTAAATTTCACACAATGCGAAGATGTAAAAAAGTCTATAAAAAAATATTTTTTTATTTTATTGACATGATGTTGTTGAACAGTTACATAATTTTTAAAAATCATAAGAAAGATCGAGCGTTTCACGTGTATAAACAGCTATTAGCCGAAGAAATTATTGATAAATATTTAGCCAACATAAATGTAAATAATGCACCTGTCAATGATTCCATTACGCGATTTAGTGGCAGGCATTTTCCTGTACGAATATCTGCAACTCTAGCAAAAGGAAATAGAACATCAAAACGATGCGTTGTATGCTTAAGTAAGTCAATTCGA